CATGGTCCAGACATTTAATGCGTAAATGGATGCCCATATAAACGTTCGCAACTTGGTGCAATATGCTGTTTCGCGGTCTGCTTTTTAAAACACTCCATATCATTGCATTCCGAAAGACGCGATGTGACCGCGCACATCTTCTTTGCAGTTTCTTTATTATTTTTTGAAGATAATCGGTCGTTTAAAAATGTACAGCGCGTCGAGGACACTCGTGACAAAGATAGGTCCATGATAAAGTATGTAGTGAAAACAGGCTTCCAATATAGCTATCCCAATTTGTACCACCTAATAAAATATATCGCACACACTTTAGAGAAAGCTCAGACACACCGACACCCAACCACATAACAAAAGAGTGCATCAAGAGGCCCAAACACATCGACAGCTCACACGTTACTAACCATCCGCACATGTTACACAGGCAGTGGAAGGCATGGCTTGCAGACGAGGCCAATCAGAGCCAAACAGCTTTGCTTGCCCAGACCCACCGGGCCCCTCATGTCAGCGGAGCCCTGGACTGAGGGCCCAACCACAACTGCCTGTATTTTCCTGAATAAAGTTTTTTCCTTGTCCTCTTCCACCTTAAAGTTTATTTTGAAAAACAAAAAGAAAAGACGCCAAGCCTTCGCGGAAGGTGCAGCACAGTCACAGCGAGAGCTAGAAGAGTGGCCTTTCAAAGCCTTTTCAAAACACTCATTGGTATGCTACAAGCACACTGTGGCGCTAGGTACCCACAGCGCCATAAATAGTCATAGACGTTGTGTAGTAGGCCAGTATTGACTGCATGCTATCCTTCGTAATTCTTTGGAAAGCGTGGTATACACTACACACTTGTTGAAAATTCAATGCAATTTCTTATGCACTGGCTGACGACTACGAAGAAATATGCGTGAAGTGGGTAGCCGCCACAGCTATCAGGTGATCGAGAACAAGCTTTTGTAATGGGTTAGAGCATTGGATGACCCACTCTTTACGCTGTCCGTAGTCCCAAGCACCGGCGTGACTCAGTGGTAGTATTCTAGGCTGGCACGCCGCGAACCCGAAATCAAGCCCCACTGTGTGCTTGGTACGAAGTTTTTTGGGGGGCGAAGCTCCATATGCTGTGTGTGAGTTGTGCGTCCGCGATGTAGGTAGTAGTAGTCGTAGTAGCAGGTAGCCACCTCCTCGGCCGGACTAGAGGAACGGCAGGTGCGCACCCTTTTCAATTGAGGAGGAAACCCGCACACAATCATCAGTTCTTTTGATGAAACAACTTATAGAGACGAGTATTGGTGATTTAATCTCCAATAAAGTTTGCTTTGAATTTGATGCTTGCTAAAATAAACTAGTATCAGAAGGACGCACTTTGAGCATTATCTAACCAGAAAGGGTTCCCACGTTAAACTCGCTGGGCGTGACCTCTTTGGTTTTAGCAAGATTTAGCGAAGGTTAGGCCGCAGTGCCATGAATACAGCGAACTATTATATAGCCATGAACTAGAGGCAATGAAAGGTTAGAAATAGACACGAGGTGCAGGCCATAAGAAAGTGCGCGAGTGCTACCTCTCGTTTAGTCCTCGGAATGTCTGCTGGATGGCGGTACTTCTATATGCTGAATATACGATGAAAAGATGCGTGATGGTGGTACTTGGAGTGTTCACTAGATGGACGTACGGATGGATAAACGGACGGGCATAAGGATGGACGCACAGACGGAAGTATGAACGCAAGGACGATCGTACTAACGGACGGACGCCTCGCCCCACTCATCAGCATGCACTCCATGGATATGCTGCCATTTTTTTCTTATTTCGTGAGATAGTGGTTACGGACACCGGCGGCGGACAACAACGGCGCCACGCGTGACCCGCGTTGTGATCTCGTAACAACTTTCGCTGTAAAAAAGAGAAGGAAGAATCGAAAGCCTCCTGGGTATTATCACGAACACACAAGATCACACTCATCACTGACAACAACACGCATGCCATCATCAAACAGCCTTCCCTTACTACATGTTGTTTCAAGAAGTGTGCCTGGAAATCCAAAAACAAATTAAGAAAAAACACATGTACACGCTGCTTTCACAATTTCACAATTACTTTGTTGTGACTGCAGGTATCTAAGCTCTTCCATGCACACAACTTCATTTTTGGCGGAAAATTTCTTTAAAAAATAAATGGCTAACTTTTTTGCAGAAAACGATTTTCTCACAAAAAAATGAGAATTTTTGTTCAAAAAATATGAGGTGACCACCATGCAGTAAGGGGCTACTGGTCACTTTCTGTTAAAGGCCGTGAAGCAGTCCTCCTTTCTCTGCAAGAGTAAAGGGGCATTGTATGTAGCGCACATCTGTCTCATTCTTGAAAGCGCTTGAACATGTTTCCGAAAACACCGTCATTAGAACAATGAGAAATAATACATTACCACCCTTCTAAAGACCTTAATGCATAGTGGTCACCCACGATGGTCACCAACAACTCATCAAGTATATGTAGCTTTTCATTTCTAGATTTCTTGGTATTAGCAACCTGGACGACATGACGTGCGACGCTATCAACGTAATAATTACAGAACGTAGAGTCCACTTTTTATGGGTGATTTATTTCGTGTTGGTGGACTAAAAGGCAATCTGCTGGACAACGCATAAGATTAATATCAGAAATCACACAATTCAGAACACTTCCGACCTCGACAAGGGGGTCCTGGGAGGTGCCTGGCTAGAAACCCCTCAGAGACAGAGGCACAAAAGAGCACGTCTTTACTCGTCCGAACCTCGGCCGCAATGATGATGATGATGACTACGTCCTCTTGACGACGGCACTCGATGGTGCGCCGCTCAGCGCCAGCTGCGAGCATGTTCTCTTCTTGAACGGTCGGCGCGCCCGCAGCCACCGCTTCCATCTTTTGTGTATCACTATCCTTCTAAGACCCTTCATGCAGGGTGGTCGCCAGCGACATCGCGCTGAGCTCTTTATTCTTTAGCGTTAGATACTCACACCATGATCCCCTGCACTATCAACGTAATAAGGACAGCACATACTTCTTTTATTTATAAGAATGTCTCGGACCCACCCCCTAGCACGCCTTGAGGACAACGACAGCCGGAAGAAAGCAAGCGTAACATGTCACATCGAAGCCCAAACGAAGTAGCGTCATCTCTGTCAGATTGACGAAAGTATTTAAAAATTCACCATTATTATTGCCCGATACAAGGAGCTCGCGTTTTTCAAGAGAGAAAAAATCACAGCATTTCCATGGAGTGAATCATGATGAGTGGGTCGAAGCGTTCATCCGTGTGTCTATCCGTCTATGTATCTATCCATCCGTTCGTGCGTCCGGACGAACGAACGAATGCACGGACGAATGTACCCACGGACGGACAGAAGAAACGCTTCGCCCCACTCATCATTATTCACTCCGTGGATATGCTGTGAAAACCGCTAACGCCATCTAGTTATATTCTTCTCAAGGACATATAGATACAACGCCATCTATTGAGCCCACCATGAACTAGAGGTGGCTACATACTACTATCACGACTACAGATGAGGGAACCGTAGAGTTGCCCAAAAAAACTAAAGGGGACTCTGGCAGTGCGATCGTTCAGCGACCATGGGAATTGTGGGTATGACATGAATTTGCCTAATCTTCGTACTTGCGGGCGGCGATTCGCACTTGAGACTTCGTTTATTGCCATGTTTTGGCTTTGTTTTTAGTGAAATAAGAAATCGTTTTCACCTTCGTGAGCTTATTTGAATAGTGATCTTAAAGGTGAAGGTGGTGAAACGCAACCTAACCGTCTGTCTCCCCTTCACCCACTTGACCTCTTTTGGAATCTAGTCTGTGCTTCTTAATGACCAGTGGTTTCTTGCCTTCGCGCTACGTGCCCTGCCCATGGCCATTTTTTCTTGTTGATTTCCATTATGGTGTCCTTAACACCCATTTGTTCCCTGAAACAATTTGCTCCCTTCTTGTCCCTTAGGGTTACACATATCATTTTCCCTTCCATTGCTTGCTGCGTCGTGCTCAACTTGAGTTGAACCTACTTTGTAATTCTCGACGTTTCTATTTCGTATACCGGTAAGATGCAGACCTAAGGGACACTGTTATATGTGTGCCTTAGCAAACGACCTCATTCTTTTCGCCATCTAACTTAATGAAAGTCACTTTAACATGTCTCCCACCACATTAGAAGTTATTCTGAAGAGAGCAAGCATATATTATCTATTGCTTATTTTTTATGATTTTCAGACACATTTCTTCCAACAAGCTACGTGAGCCCGTGTATATGTATAAAGTAATAGTTGTACGCATTGTATGTTGGCTTTACAGGAAACCTGTAAACGTAGAGACGTTCAGAAAATGTTCTTTTTTCTTTGTCTAGTATGCTAAGTCACTCAATTTTTTTAATTCATCGATTAGCAGCTGTAAAGCACATTTTCTTGCAATCTCCATTTCTGCCGTAACAAGAGGTGCATACTGGTACACGGGAAACGCATTTATTATTGTTTTTGTTTGCAGCATTGAAACCTTGGCACTGTGAGAAAAATAAAACAAAACAAATAAAAATTTGCAGGAACTTAACCTCGAATAGGGAGATCCTGATCACACTTCCGCGCAACAATGCGAGAAGCCTGTGCGTAGCGGAAGGGTAAAAGCGCGACCACTGCAAGCCTCGAAGCTTGTTCGAAAGACCATGCATCTCGTTGTAATAGGGAAGCGCGATAAACTCGGTGGGCACGCAAAATACACGAGCGGAAAGATCTCGCCTGCCATCACGGGAGACCTACTGGAAGGAGACGTCAGAACACCACAAGCGGCGGTGGAAGGAATGGTGCGTGGTAGGGCCACTTGAGCTGGCCGAAGGGAAAGTGCCTCAGTTGCATCGAGTGCAGAAAGGCAGACGCGGCATTGGCGTAGTACGCCGGGTGCATGGCGGCCGGGTGGAGCTCGGTTGCACCGGCGGGAAAGTACCCGAACGTGGCCGGCGACAAAGGGCTCGTAAAGGGGAATCCCCCTTGGCTAAGCTGAAAGCCTCTGCGGGGGGAAAGCCGGTGGAACGGGCCCGACGACGTGCACGTCGGCTGCATCCACGTAGAACGGATACCTCAGCGTAGTGCGTTTTGGAGGGCCAGGCCTTCTTGGAGCGTCGACCTCTTTCGGAGGCGGGAACACGGGAGGCCTGGGCTTGGTGCGTCGAGGCACGTCGTCTGCCGCATCGATCAGGACTTTTGGCGGGACCACATCGCCTCCCGCGCGCTCCGGGTATCCAGAAGGTTCGACACTAACCGAAGATGACACCATCGTCGAAGACGCCGCGGGTATCTCGGTCGGTCCTACCACTGCAGTGTCCTCGCCGCTGGATGCGTTTACCGCCATCAGGTCCACAGAGGGAACTGCTTGGCCCGTTGTGGCGGAGTCCTTGACGGGATCCACGGCAGGCTCGTTAGTCTGCACGTCGGCACGGAATCCCTGCGCGTCCGCAACGTAATTGACAATGCGGACGCGGCCATCAACGTCTCGCAGCCCGTACGATCCCACTTTGACTCCGTTGGTGCTCTCCTCTTTGTGGAAGCTGCTCCCGGAAGAATGAACAACGTCGTAGCCGAACCTGTAGTTTCCCTGACTCTGCAAGAAGCCAGAAAGTATGCTTCAACGCGGTCATATAGGCCGTTTTCATACGGAAAAGTGCATCCGTAACATGCGCGGCGGAGCACGGTTTAATTAGGACCAGCTCTTTCGACAGACATCAGATTACGACATGATTAGTTTCACGAAATCGTGTCTGCCGAATAGATACGAACAAAGTCTGCTATGCTCCCATTGTTAATTTGTTAATTCAGCAATGACGTCGTTTGGCATGCAAAGAATGTCATCGAATGTACAATCGAAGGCAATTACTCACATCTTGCGTCTTGAAGTGTGTACTCGTGCCAGTGCGCGTTGCCGTCTTTTGCTGGTTCACCGAACTGCCACTTGCACATGCAAGTAGAGCGGCCAGCAACAAGGTAGGCTGCTGCTGCGAGATTGAACGCCGCAAATCAGTGAAATGGAGCAAACACGTCGTCGTCACGCATGCAATGGCGTAAACGATGCCTTCGTGCGGCCGCCACAGCCATCAGTCCGGATGCAGCCGGCTGCAACCGGAAAATTAAGCCCTTCACACTCTGGTCAACCGCTAGCACCGATGAAATTCACAGTCCGAGAAGTTTAATTTATACAAATATTTTATTTTATTTTGGCAAACATTAAAACAAAGCGTTTTGCAGCGTGTTGTTATGCATTGAGGAGGAGGAGGAGTAAAGAAATAAGCGGAAGGACAGGGAGGTTAGCCAGTTCTTAGACCAGTTGGCTACCCTGTGCAGGGGAAAGGTGTGAGGGGAGTAAAAGATTATGAAAAGAAATGTTACAAAGAGATAGAGAGAATATAAAAGATAGCAAAAGAGAAGAAGCAAAATCAAAGAGAATACGACACTAAGGTCAGTCTCTAAAGCCAGTTGTGCCCCGCCGAGGTGGTGTAGTGGCTAAGGTACTCGGCTGCTGACCCACAGGTTGCGGGATCGAATCCCGGCTGCGGCGGCTGCATTTCCGATAGAGGCGGAAATGATGTAGGCCCGTGTGCTCGGATTTGGGTGCACGTTAAAGAACCCCAGGTGGTCGAAATTTCCGGAGCCTCCCACTACGGCGTCTCTCACAATCATATGGTGGTTTTGGGACGTTAAACCCCACATATCAATCAATCTAAAGCCAGTTGTCCACAAAAACATAAGGCTTTCAAAGCCTTCTGGGCTGAGGATGGAATCGGATAATATCCCAGAATCCTTTGTTCCGACAAAGGCAACGTACATGACAAGCTGATGAACCGCAGTCTTTTTACACACACTGCATGGCATCGACACGGAATGTTTTTTTTAAGTAATACGGAAGACCAAGAAAATGATAAGATAAAGGAATCAGTTAAAAAGCCCTCCGTCGTCCACTACATGCATAAGCTGTCACAAAAAAAATGCTGCAAACCGATATGACGTTGGGGTAGTTTTCTCGGCCCCAAGCAAATTTAAAAAAGCTATGTAGCAGGATAGATAGAAAACTAGCTCAACACGCTAAAAGTCAAAAACGGGAATCATAGGCAGTTGTATCTCAAGTGTGAAACAGGTGTTGTATATTTGGTACCATTTTCCTGTAGTCTCATCTACATGGGCCAGATGGGAAGATGTGTCAACACTTTCAAAGGAGTACTGACACGAATTTTAAGTATTTCGAATTGTTGCTCTAAGGAGAAAGGTTAGTGTGGGAAACCCTAGAAAGAGTATTGCGGTGCCTGGAAACGCATCGACTATACTTTTAATGCCACTACGTAAAAAAAATAACCTTCGGTTACGATATCGAGGGCGCGGCTTATAACTGAGGTGTCCACGCAGTATGACGTCACGGGTGGCATCAACTCACGACGAAGCAGATCTGTCACAACAAAGAGTGAATTGTCATCCAACGACCCTGATTTATGTGCCGCATGCAGGACGCAAAATTTGCAAAATTAGCGGAACTGCGGTGACTCGTCAAAATAAGCGCAGTGGCTTGCAGATGCTCAGCGACAAAAAACTTTAAAATAAAAGTAAATATTTTACACGTGTTGCCTTACTTCGGTGGTGTGTGGAGATCGAGAACACGATGAAATGTAAGACGTCCCTCTTGCGATGTCTCAACAGCGTTCTCCTTCGGAGCGCAAGCGTGCGGCAATGCGGTGTTGCCGTGTCGTGTCACCCACGGCATAAAGAAGCAGGCTCGCAATCGTCGTTACGCTTCGCATGATTTTTCGGCAATGCTCAGATAACTTGGGCGACTCTATCCATGCGATGACATTCTAACCCTTCTCAGCCCGATGTTGTGCTTTCAAATTTTAAGACTAATGGCAGTGATGATATTTCAGACGTACGTACATGCATACATCGCATCAAGTGCGTGCTCCTGTACGGGGTCCTAGCAAGCGCGCCTGCGCGCGAAGCGAAAACGTAATCATGGTTGAGTATTTGTGTAGCGCTGACTGAACATGGTTGAAAATAGTCTCGACAAAATCTTAATTGTTCGCCGCGAATACCACCTTCTGCATGCGCATTCACTACGTGTACACAGGCTGAAAAAACGCGCTTGGACATTGTAAAAGAAGCACATACGCGGAAGACTGAACGAATTGAACAATTTTTCAAACTTCAACACGAGACAAAACAAAAGGCACGAACTCAGTGCGCAGTATGAACCTAATGCGGTCCAAATGCGTGAGCTGAAAAGAACGCGTCGGTAATCTGCCTCACACGTAAGCCCCCGGTCGTTCGTTAGGTAGGTTTACGTGATGCATAATGTTCCTTGCTTGCGGTATTTTATCATACTTAAAAAAGACTAGAAAACAGAAATTCACGCCGAAATTCTACTCTATACACTCAACTCCTTGGGAAAGCATGAATTTGTCTCACAAAAATGGCTCAGTTATTGAGTGTCAAATGCGGAGTCCTCATCTGTTTGCTTCAAGTTTGTCCGGGTCAGCGGGGATAGCAAATAGTCCTCGGCACACTCAAGCAACAGATTACCCCGTGGAATTGAACCTCGCGGAACGTGCAGAGGGCATGCGGTCAGTGTTCGGGCCAGTCCTGATTATGCGAATTTATTGAATGGCGCACGACAACCCCTGTAAGCTTCGACGAGGAGCAGCGCGTCGATGGCATGGCAAGCACGTGACACGGTCAAGCGAAACAACACGGACTCACCTTCATGGTCTCCTGGTGCTGGGAAGAAGCTGAGCATAGCGGCAATCCGACTTGCCCCTTTATAGAAGAGCAGCGCACAAACAGAAGCAAACAAGTGGTCACGTGTCGATACAGCGTAAACGGTGGCCCGGGACAGCGCCGTCACCAGGAAGGAAGCGCCCCGCTCAAGTTCATCCCTCCTCTCCGCGGGAACGTCGTCTTTCGCGGCCAAGGACCGGACAGGCCACGCCTGCGGACGTGCACCCCGGCGGTCAAGCATCCATTAGCCGGCTATTATACCGTCACGGCGAGAGTGACGCGCGCTCGTTGCATGCAGTCGTCCGGAAGAAGAGCTTCGAGACATTCTTCGCACGAACCCTCGGCGTGGTAGACGTCCGAAGCGGCTCCGAACTTATGCTTGCACCCAGCGAGAAAAGAAAAGAAAAACTAGAAGTGTGCCACCAAAAACATTGCACGCAACCACTCCATCTTCGAATGGTGACGGAAGAAGGCCCGGCTCGACGAGCCTGGAAAGGCGCTTCCCGGCGGATTTCGAAGAACCACCAATGCATCGCTCGTTCCTGCCGGAAACGAAGCGATGAATACTTGAAAGCGCTTTCGCTCCTCTTGCTCTCATATGCAGTCAATAACACCGAGAAAACGGTGGCGCTAAGTGATTCCTTGCCTCTATGAATGGCCTTGAGAAAGGACCGATCAGCGGTCTTCGGAGCATAAAAGGTGAGGGGAAAAAAAAAAAAAAACGGATGGTCAAGATGACAACTTGGTAATCCCTTGTCTCGTCTACTTCGCCTCTTCGACGATGTTGTTTGAAAACAGCGCATATCCAAGATAATATTAGACCACATATAAGCACAAAACACGAAAAGAATGGAACATGGGTGGAACTTGTGTATTAAAAACGAATCAAAACGTCACTAATGCTTCTGGTGATACCGGAAAATTAGTCTTCAGTCAATTTATTATTTCACTGGCGTTTGCCTGTACACAAGTTACTGCATTCCTGTTAATATATATATATATATATATATATATATATATATATATATATATATATATATATATATATATATATATATATATATTTGGACTTTTCAGTAGTGGCCATTTTTCAGGTGCAGTCAGTTAATTTTCTCTTACTCAATGAACAACTAGAGTAGGCGTCACATTTCTTTCTGCTCGTTCATTGCTTGCACACAACTACGGACCACAATTGACCGTACTCTGGCATTCCTCGCACGATCTTCGCGAGCTGAGCACATGCTGCACGGTTTTAGCGCCACCCGCGTAGAGGCGCGTCATGCCAACGAACTGTCGATCGGGGTTCCACCTGCAGCGGCGTGGTTATGCTAATGCGCTGTCGCTAAATGCGGGCTGCGACCGTTCTGACATTTCAGGGAGCGTCCTTGTTCAATCGGTCACCGACCTCGTTGGACGAGAAATCACTATACGATGAGTGGTCAGTCCACGAATATCCCAACACAAATCTAGCAATGACGGCGGTATTACTTTCTTAATGTATGAAAAGGTATATCACACTTACGAATAAATTATTAAAAACTAGCATAGCTTCTCAGCTCACCTAATTGCATTGTGGTGTTGCGACCTCTCAGAAATCGGTCGAATGGTACTTAAAAATTCAATGTAGCTTTGCGGTATTCAACACGGATACACATTACAAAATGAACAGGTGCTTAATAAAGTTGAATGCACTGTATACTTCGCTGTCAAGCAATTCAAGTAGAGTGCTTCAAAGCTAGATCTCCAGGAGGGACACTTGCACGGCATGTCTCCCTCAGCCTGAACAGGAAAAAGGTCAGGGCCCCTCTTCGCACCATGATTTAATCCAGCGATCACGATAAGCGCCGTTATAGCTGCTTCCGCACCTTTAGCAGTTCGCGCGCAATATGAACCCACAGAGGGCCCAGTCTTGATGTGTGTCATCGCGGATTTATAACGGTCTCAGATGCTTCGCCATTAGCGAAAATTGACCGTCGGGCGGCATCAGCCAGAGGAGTAACAAGACAAGTCATCACGCGACGACATCATGGGCGCAAGGTCCACCCCTGGAGGAGCGGGCACTGCAATAGCGGTGACGTGCAGGGTTGGATTGGACCACGTGATCTCACCTCGCTCTGGCGAAGGAAAGCTGGCGGTGGATGCGTTGTTTTTTCACTGCGACTTCGCGATGTTTCACTTTGAACAGCGTTGTTTTGCTCTCACTTCACGTGTGCGGACTTGTACAGACTATGCAATCCAGAAAGTTGCACTAAAAGCTATCGGCAGCGCACCACACTGCGCTACTACGCGAGGGCACTGTAATGGCCGCTGACAATGTCGCCTCTCTCTTTCTATGTTGTTGGGGTTGTTAATTCTAACCCATGGGGTTTAAATGAGCACCGACCACGATTGTTCACATAAAAGCAGAACTCTTCAGTTACTGCGCGGCACCCTCGTTCCAAGGAAAAATGAATGTGCAAACAGTTCAATTATGTTATTTCAAATTACGACGCACGTGCGTACATGTGGGGGAAGTTGCCGTCATTGCATTTAAGAATGTGCGCCGTCGTCTGAATTGTCCGAGCAAGATGAAGTCCGGAAGTCTCAAACGTTTTTTTTCGTTTTTCTTAATTTAAAACCTATTCAGATCTATTAGCGCCAGTTGCTACTGCGTGTTCAGCAGCGCGTTCGACGAAACCTTCTTTCCTTTACATATACATGTGCTTCTCTCGCCAAGGTAACTTTTACCGCAGTCTGCGCCACCTCCCACTCTCCTTCCCGGGTGTCTCTCCCCATGAAATATGTTGTGAAAACGTTTCAACCTCAGATATTCCCTTCGCTCGTCTAGAAGTTACCAACCAAGCTTTTCTTTTGCTTTTGAAACAGTGATATTTCTGGTAAAATCAGAGCAGAAAAACCAAACAGCCGTGTTTCGATTCTTTCTAAATTGGACACATCACATGCCTTCCACGGATTCCACACAGCACAAGCGTAATCTAAGACAGATCGAATGTTAGTCTTATATAGTTGATTCTTGGACTCAAGTGGTAACTTACTTGCGTTTCTGCGCAGGAAACCTAACGTACGTCCTGCTTTACTTGTGACGAGATTGATGTGACGGCTGCAGGAAAGGTCCGGCGTAAAATATACACCGAGATGCTTGTGTTCACGAACTGTTAGCAGCCTGGTTGAATTTACAGTGTAAAATGAGTCATGTTGCGCCTTTTTCTATAGTGAAACACATATGCACTGTTCTATTTTATTTTTTTTTTTGCATTATTGAATATACGCCACTTTGCACACCATTCAGAAGCTTTGTCAAGATCGTTTTAAAGAGTAGTACAATCATGGGAGCTATGTATAAGCCTGTACAAAACACAGTCGTCGGCAAATAATTTGATATGTGAGGAAATACTTTCCGTCATACGATACTATTTGTTCGGGTGTTTCCTCTTTTTTTTTTCGATGTTTCGGTAATCGTGCCTTTCTCCAGCACCTACAAGTATGTGGATGAAGCTTGCGAAACATAAGCCACATTGTTGAATGCGCGGTGTAGGATGTCAAGGGAGACCGCTTAGCCATCGCGGCTCTCGTCCTCCAAACAAGCGGACTCGCGAACCCGCCACACAGCGTCTCCGTCATGATTGACTGCGGCGAAGTGGCGAATGCTCGCTGATCGTGCAAATCAGGATGAGACAATGTCTACGCCTGTAACTTACCATGTGTAAAGCAGGTTGAGGCAATGTGTAACCTAAATAGAAGTTGGTTTTCTGCTGGTGCGTTGGCTGTCGATCTGATATCAAATTTTCATGATGTTAATGTTCTTAATTAGGAACACAGTTGTACATGTTTCTTAATTAGGAATCCAGTTACAACTCTGAACTAGTTTGAATATTTAATATTGCCACCAATTCTAACCTAGAAAAAAATATTTGTGCAGCGCCAGAAATTTCAATTATTTTGTTAATAAAAAGAGATCATAAATATTTCCAGCTTCAAAATTGTATCGCTATCACAACTGAGACTGCAGGTTGTAAAGGTGGAATATAATTCATATTTTAGGCATCAGCCTCGAAAGGCCAATGAAATTGCAATACATGATGTAATCGACACGCGCCTTCGAACATCTAAAACTGTGCCGCACTCGCGCGCGGAGACAAGCGGCCGCACGCAGTTCCATGAAAGAAGGCGCTGTGCTGAGAAAATGGGTTCGAAGCGAGACCCGCGGTTGTTGAACAGCGTCGGTCGACACACATCAGATAACGAACTTTGTCGAGCCCAGTTATCACGCAACGTAGGCCTCAAAAACGAAAGAAAAAGTTAAGAGCAGACAATCGGCGAAATCTGGCCTCAGGAAGTACGTCACGACTACATAACAAACTAGTGCTCTCACCAACACGCCT